TTGTGTTGGGATGTCTGGCCCTGTGCTCTGACTCTTCGAAACTGAACATCCCCAAAGTCCTACTGCCCTTCGCTCGCAGCACAACCATCAACTTCACTCTGGAGGCAGCGGAAGGATGTTATAAATGGTAAGGCTTGAGGGGGGGGGGGGGGGGGAGAGGGGAGAGGGATTAATCCCAACGTTGGATGACTGTCTGGGACCGCACCTGTATCTGGTGTTGGCTCTCTGTTGGTGAATGGCAGCCCCTGAGCTTTGAGACTCACTTGTTTTACAGAGAGAGAGAGAGAAGCGAAACCCACAATGGCTGTGCTCATTTTCATTCGCTTTCGCACACGTGCAAATGGCAGCCACATGGCTGCTCCCCCCCCCCACCCCTCACCCCCCCCCACCCCCCCTCACCCCCTGACAACACACACACAGCACAACTCTCTCTCTCTCTCTCTAATAATCTTTGCATTTGATATAGCGCTGTTCACATCGGGAGGACGTCCCAAAGCGCTTCACAGAACACACTGTAAAGTGAAGTGACTGTATATTTGTGGGCGAACGCGGCAGCCAATTGCGCACAGCAATGTCCCACAAACAGTCGTGGATTGAAAATGACCAATTTACTCTCCCACCCTCTTCCCCCCTCTCTCCCCCTCCCTCCCCCTCTCGCCACCTCTCACCCCCTTCCCCCTTCTCTCTCCCTCCTTCTCTCCCTCTCTCCCCCTCCCTCCACCTCTCCCCCTCTCTCCCCCCTCCCCCTCCCTCCAAATCTGCTTTACTGACCAACATACAGAATTGTCTTAAAATGTGCTTTTCCCCCTCTCGCACACACACACAGTGTATGTGTGTGTGTGTGTGTGTGTGTTGACGGATTGAGGGGAGAGAAGGAAGAGAGTTATTTGGTGTAAAAACTTATATGATCAAAGTGACCTCTCTATTTAGGACTTCTTGATGCACAGTTTTGCCCACAAAATACACAGTCGATTCGCTTCGCAGCACATCCCGCGAAGCGCTTTGAGACGTCTCGAAGACGTGATCAGGCGCTCCATCAAATGCAACAGCTGTTATTATTATCTTGCCATCGTGATTTTTTTCCTTTCTACTCTCCCGTCCTCCCTGTTCCCTCGCTGTCCATTTTTATTGATAGTAATATATATTATTTCCCATTCATTCAACGTTTCTTTTCTAACCGCTAAATTGTTTTTTTTTCTTATCAATTCTTCCAGCTGTCACATTCTTCTGTGAAAGAGAGGAAGAACATGTTTTCCCCCCAACCCCCGAAACTAACATGCAATGCAATAGTATTATTATTATTATTATTATAAATGTGGAAACTACCACAGTATGCGGATAGCTAATATTCCTGCCAATCTCAGAATGCAGAGTGGCCAAACAGTGGAACACAAAAGATATTTAATTCACGAAAAGAACCCTCACAACTCATTCGCAATCCAATCGCTCGTTTAAAAAAAAAAAAGGGGGGGACTTTGTATTCCGATCTTCACTGTTACAACGTGAGAGCGACCATATGGACCGGTTAAGTGCGAATGCTGGAGGAAGCCATTTCATGGGGAGATGGGCCTAACGCGTGTTGGTGCCCAAGAGAAAGAAGCAGATGGCTCTCCAACAAAACGACCCCCTTCCCCCCCCACCCCCCCCACCGCACGTTATTCTGTTCCTCCTTCACTTCTGGGTTGAAGGTATAGAGACGCAGAGTTCCCCTTTATTAGACCGACCGCCTGTCCTACCACAACAGACGGTGCTGCACAGGTGAATTCACAGGTAGGTCCCGAATAGACTCGGCCCAGGATAAATGATGTTGATGTGGTCCCCAATGTCATGACCGTTTCCTTGACCGGGAGGCGTTGTGTTGGGGGATTGGACTATGAAGACGCGGCGGTGGAGGAAAAAAAAAATCACTGTTTTTCGACGTTATCGTTAGTTACCCCCGATCCGGGGGGAAGAAGATGGGAGAGAGAGAGAGAGAGAGAGAGAGCGGTCTGGAAATTGGAGGACGGAAGAGCACTACTCGGCCAACTTCAGCATCTCGGCCCGAATTGGACCAAAAGGATCATAAAGCACAAAACAAGGGCCGTTAACCGTTAAATGTGCCTCTTGTCTGTCTGTCGCCTCCGCCACAGGTCCCGCTCACTCCCTCCGTCCCTCCGATGGAACGTTCCGCGCGAGTACCTCCCGAGGACTTGGCGGCAAAAACAGCCGAACAAATACTGACTGTGTTTCCAACTCCTCTCCCGCAGTCCAACACACAGTCACTCCACAACGACGGTGAGCGCTTCGAGACGTCGCGACGCTATATCAAATGTAAGGATTATTATTATTATTATTATTATTATTATTATGGGGGAAAAGGGGTGGACTGTTGTCCATTGTGTGTACTGTACATATCTGACCCTCGGTATACTGTACACGTGTGTGTGTGTAGTGTGTACTGTGTGTGTGTACTGTGTGTGTAGTGTGTACTGTGTGTGTAGTGTGTACTCTGTGTGTGTACTGTGTGTAGTATGTACTGTGTGTGAGCACGTGACCCGCTGTGGGTTTGGGGATCACGGAGACAGTGACGTGTGACGTGTGACGCACAATGTGAGCGCCGCGTCACTGCGTGAGGTGTACCCGCGGGGCCCACCCCGCCACCCCGAGCCCGAGCCCCCCCCACCCCGACACCCCGAGCCCGAGCCCCCCCACCCCGACACCCCGACACCCCCCCCCCCACCCCCCGAGCCTCGGCTCGTGTTCGGCCTGAGGTGACAGCGGGACTCCCCCCCACTCCCCCCCCGGAGACAGCGCTGTCGGGAGGCACAGGGACAGGGGCTGAGGGCCGCTCACACACCACACGGCGGCTGGAGAGGCTGTGGAGGAGCGCGGCCACTGCCGACAGGTAACCTGTGTGTGTGTGTGTAGTGACTGTGTGTGTGTGTAGTGACTGTGTGTGTGTGCAGTGACTGTGTGTGTGTGTGTAGTGACTGTGTGTGTGTGTAGTGACTGTGTGTGTGTGTGTAGTGACTGTGTGTGTGTGTAGTGACTGTGTGTGTGTAGTGACTGTGTGTGTGTGTGTAGTGACTGTGTGTGTGTAGTGACTGTGTGTGTGTGTGTAGTGACTGTGTGTGTGTAGTGACTGTGTGTGTGTGTAGTGACTGTGTGTGTAGTGACTGTGTGTGTGTGTGGCTGTGTATACACACTGACACACACACTGACACACACACACACACTGACACACACACACACTGACACACACACACTGACACACACACACACACTGACACACACACACACACACTGACACACACACACACTGACACACACACACTGACACACACACACACACACTGACACACACACACAGACACACACACACACACTGACACACACACACACACACACACTGACACACACACAATGACACACACACACTGACACACACACACACTGACACACACACACTGACACACACACACACACTGACACACACACACACACACTGACACACACACACACACTGACACACACACACTGACACACACACACACACACACACACTGACACACACACACTGACACACACACACACACACACACACACTGACACACACACACAGACACACACACACACTGACACACACACACTGACACACACACACACAGACACACACTGACACACACACACTGTGAGGGGGAGAGGAGAGAGGGTATAAAGTATACACATAACGATACAAAAGGGATTTTGTTGCAACTCTTCTGCTGTTGTGATTTCGAAGGCCTTCGTTAATTGTCCGACCCTTGGACTTGGGGCCAAAGTCACAGTGAGGACCGGTGTCTGGGGAGTGTGGCCGTGCGCAGGGCCGCCCGCGTGTGTCCTTCCTCCCCGGTCTTGGGAGACATGTCAAAGGCCGGGCGGGCGGGCGGCTGGGACCTGCCGTTCCCCTTCTCGCTATCGTTGCTGGATTTCAGTGCCAAAGGACAAATAACAACCCCCCGCGCGGGAAGCGGTCCCAAAAACTGTCGAAACAACTCCCGGCAACGTTTCCCGTTGTTCCCGCGGACGCTGCCCAGCGCGGTCAGCGGGCGGAATACTTGTAGGCGAACTCGGCGGCCAATCTGCACCGCACCACGGCAGGGGTGACCTCCAAACCGTCTCGAGGTGCCGGCCCTTAGTTTGAGGACCGTTGACCGGAGCAGCGCAGGTCCTGTGTGTCTGCCTCGGGCGAGGGGTTCGGTTACGATGCTTTTGTCAACTGCGGGTGTTTTTTTTTTCGAGATAAACAACAGATCGCGATTCGTGGAGTCCTGTAGCTCAGTGGTTAGAGCACTCGCTTTGCGAGTGAGAGACCTGAGTTCAATTCCAGGCAGAGGGTGAAACCTTGGGCAAGTTTCCTTACTCCACACAGAGCCTAATAATAGTCCCTCCAAAACCAAAACCAATAATAAATTGGTCATTTTCAATCTACGACTGTTTGTGGGACATTGCTGTGCGCAATTGGCTGCCGCGTTCGCCCACAAATATACAGTCAATTCACTTGACAGTGTGTTCTGTGAAGCGCTTTGGGACGTCCTCCCGACGTGAAAAGCGCTATATCAAATGTAAGGATTATTATTAAAGCGCTGCTGAAAATACCATTGGAAACGCCTGTCCTTACATATCAAGTTTCGCCCTGCAAAAATACACGGCCACTCCACTTTACAAAGTGAAGCGCTTTAAGACGTCCGGTCGACGTGATAAGACGCAATATCAAATGCAAGGATTGTTCGTATTGTTGTTTTATTGTTTAAGCACAATAAACACCGGGGTAACTAACAATAGTTGGAACAGTACCCACTGATCGAGACCAGATACAAAGTGAAATTCTGGAATAAACAAAGGTATCCCTGTAGTAGAATTATAGCCGCACTCAAAACATTCTTACTGAAGTTACTGTGCTTGAAAGAACTGCCCAATGAATGTCAGAGGCCTTTTTTATACACACAGTATGATGAATATACGTAATTGTGCCATTGAACACACTATTATTAAGTGCAGGAATGAGCCTTCAGGCTTACTGGATTAATTTTATCTCGGGCCCTAATCCAGTCTAAACTCTGCTGGAACATTTGACTGTATTTGCTTATTAAGATATTGCTAATCGTGAAGCATTTTAACATTTATTTTTGTCCTGCTTCGAGGGCAAATCAGGTATTTCAATTTACTTGCCTTTTGTTTTCTTTTGAGACCTTTTCCCGACGTGAAAAGTGCTATATGTCAAATGCACAGATTATTATTTATTATTATTTATTTCAGCGCCTTGGGACGTCCTCCCGACGTGAAAGGCGCTCTATAAATGGAATCTTGTTGTTATTATTATTTATTATCCATCCAGTTATGATAGTTGAATTGAGCTCATGGCAAAAATCTTTTCACTGTAAATGCTTACATTTTATTTAAGGTCATTATAAGTAGAGATCACGGTATATTGTTGATGTGTAAATCAAATAGCATGCTGGACATTTAGTCCAATATTTTTGATTTGAGGCTTGAGGTAAAAGACGACGGCTGCTTTTTCAACGGAAAACAAAATATTTCTAATTTGTAGATGCCTAAAAAATATCCAATGAAAGATTTGATGATTGATTTTATTGATTGCAGGAATCAGCATTTTTAACGGAGCAAGAATGTGAAGACAAACATGGCCGAAGCAGTAGTTGAAGAGAGTAGATCAGACAGAGGCAGCCTGTAAGTGTCAGAGATGCTGTTTCTCCGAGTTTTAGTCTGTGGTTTCATCATGGAATCCTGCAGCACATAAGGAGGACATTTGGCACATCTTGCTTGTGACGGCTCTTTGAAAGAGCTACCCGAATAGTCCCACTCCCTCGCTCTTTACCCCAACTAATCCCACTCCCCCGCTCGTGCGTCAGAGCCCAACACATTTTTCCTTTTCAAGTACCTATCCAATTCCCTTTTGAAAGTTATTATCGAATCCTCTTCCATTACTCTTTCAGACCGTGCGTTCTGGATCGTAACAACTCTCTGTATCAAAAACAATTCTCTCCCCGCTGGTTCTTTTGCCAATTATCTTAAATCCGTGTCCTCTGGTTGCTGACGTGCCTATTAGAGTAATCAGTTTCTCCCCTATCTACTCTTATCAAAACCCCTGATTGTGCTTATGGAGCTGGAATTGGTTAGGAGCAAACTGAATGTTGCTAATGAAAATCTTTACCGGCTTAGGTTAGTCATTACATTGAGTTGAATAACAGAAGTTAAATGCCTACACATTTGTGGTGTTTGGGTTTCGGGAGATGATTCATGGGCTCGGCCACCATGAAGATTGATCGGTGGCTCAAAATGAGATCGTTGGGTCGTTAGAAAATCGACTTCCAAATTAAGACTGTGTTTTAGGACCGTTTACCAAAATTCTGTACAATTGTAACTCTGAAGACCGTGGTTTTAAATAAACATAAAGAATGTGAAGCCACTCTGAATGACATGAGGACACTGGCTCACTGATGCTCAGATTGTTTGGGAATTGTGTCTGAAGGAGATGGTGGAAGTTTCTCTAAAATGTTCAAGATTCACAAACACGTCGTTAATTCAGCTGCCAGTCAGCGGGGCCCATTTGTTCAGAGAAGAACAATAGTTTTTTTGATAGTTTGACAAAACTGCTAGAATCTCTCCCGAAATCCCAATGGCCTTGAATAGTGGAGAGAGGAGAAATATAGTACAGGTACAATTTCCAGATGTGCTGCTAATGCTGTTTAGCTGTACCATGAGTTTCCTGTATGCCATAACTCCTCTCCCCTCCTCATTTTCTTTAAAGTACAAGATTTATTCAATAAAATTTGTCCTTTTTCTTAGATAAAAAAATCTTAAAATTTCCTACCTTTCATTTTTTGTAAAGGACACAACATTCTCAGCTCTACCTTGATATTCCACAAAGTTCCTGGCCGATTGTCTACTCTCCCGGCTACAATATCTCATTCCTCGGTCTGGAAAAACTTCATCCCTTTGATTCGGGAAAATGGGGGAAAATCATCAAGTTTTTGAAAGGTAAGTCGCTGATCCACATTTTAATTCGAAGGATCGTAATTTGAATTGAAAAACATTGACCCAAATTAAATGGCACTCGTGTTCGCTTGTCAAATTGTTCCATGTGGAATTTCTTCTTGTGTGGTCAGGAGGGAGGACACAAAGGATAATTGTTAGCTTCTGTTTTTTGTACTCCGAACTCAAAATTGGCTTCACCATTTCGCCCACAAAACTGCAAGCTTTTTTTTCTTCCTCTTTTTTTTCCCACTAGGGTTCCTTCCTTTTTTCTTTAATGATGCAATGTGCCGATGTACTTGATCGCTATTAATTTAAATGCTCCTGTAGCGCCCGCCTCACAAGCGAGAGGACCTGGGTTCGATTCCCCCGGGCAGAGCGAAATGTTAGGCAAGTTTCCTTATTGTCTACCTAGCACTAAGTAGGAACCCGGGTTGTTAGTCGATTGTCAGATCACTTTTCCGGGGGTAATAATCCCTTGTGGTACGCTGCTGTGTGCGATTGGCTGCTGTGTTTTGCCCACAAAATATACAGTCAATTCACTTTACAGTATCTCCTGTGAAGCGCTTTGAGGAGTCTCAATGACGTGATAAGGCGCTGTATTAAATGCAAGGATTATTTTTATGATTTTTGTTACAAACCATAAGGGAAATGCAACACTGAGATTTGATATTTCACTGAAGATTATTGCACTTTTAAACACATTTCCTCTGCAGAGTCAGTTTTCATGAGCAGCCAGAAGGCATTTTGATCTAATTATATGTGAAAAGATTATGACTTCTGTGTTTGTGGGTGTTTAGAAGACAAGCTGGTAGAAGATGACACACTTGTTCTTGCCCGCGAAGCAGAGGAAGAGGACTTGCTGGTGGCACACCCAAGGCAGTATCTCAATAAACTCAAGGTGACTCCCTCTCTTAATAATAATAATAATAATAATGTGGTCACTCAATCCACGACTGTTTGTAGGATACTGCTGTTCGCAATTGGCTGTGGAATTGGTTGGAGAACTCACCTCCCAAGCGAGAGGACCTGAATTTGATTCCCAGGCAGTGTAAAACCTGCAAAGGAAAGCAAATTTCCTTACTCCACATGCCTCTGTTTACCAAGCTGTAAGTTAAAAACCTGATTGTTAGTCGATTGGCGGGTCGCTTTGGGGGGTAATAATTCCTTGAAAAAAAATTCCTCAATCCACAACAACAACAACTTGGATTTATATAGTGCCCTCCACGGCGGACGGCGTCTCAGAGCGCTTTACAGTTTAGGATCCCGGGGCCGAGCCCGGGGGAGGGGGAGAAGCCGGGGGTGAAGGGGAGGGAAGGTGACCAAAGGCGCGGTCAAAAAGAAAGGTCTTCAGCAGAGACCTGAAAATGGGAAGAGAGGGAGCGAGGCAAAGGGAGTGAGGAAGGGAGTTCCAGAGCCTCGGGGCGTAGTGGCTGAAGGCACGGCCGCCGAGGGTGGAGCGGAGGCCTCGGGGGACGAGGAGGAGGCCAGACCTGGAGGAACGGAGGCAGCTGTTTGTGGGACACTGCTGTGAAAACTAAAGACACGTGGAAGATTATGCGTGTGTCGTGCGTGTGTGGGGTGCATGTGAGGCGTGCGTGTGGGGCGTGTGTTTTGTCCATTCTTCTCTTGTCTCAGTATTGTCAGGGTGCAAGCACTGTCCAGCTTCTAAGGAACAGAAATCATATACAGCAGTAAAGTTAAGTTCGGTCTCATCCTTGATCCATCGTGTCTTTCACATAAGACGGCAAAAGTAATTGTTTCTTCCAATAACAGCTCGGCAGAAATGTGAACAGGAGCAGCTGAGAGTAATTATGAGATGCTGCGTTTTTGCCTCTTGTAGCCTAAATGCTTTTTTTATACACCAAAGAACATCCCCTATTTTTCCTGACAGATTTTATGGATCACATTTTCTTGCTTTACGCTGAGAAAGAAATAATGAGTTCCTCAGGGCACCTCACACGAGGACTCAACAAGCAGCAAAGTTGCTGTGAGTTGGTTACAGCCCGCGGAGTGGTGTATAGGCTATCTCCTGTAGCTTCTTATCATCTGTTCAGTCTATTACCACCTGTCAAGTAAATTTAAAATAATTCTTTGCTAAATCTTTTTAAATCTTTGCAAAACTGTGCCTTGTGAGCTCACGGCATTCTGCCTCGGTCACGCTTCTCAATCCAAGGTGTGGTGTCATTGCGTTTCGCCCACAAAATATACCGTCAATTCACTTTACAGTATATTCCGTGAAGCGCTTTGAGACGTCTTAAACGACATGATCAGGCGCTGTATCAAACGCCAGGATTATTAAAAGGATTATTATTTATAATTTATATTTTCCAGCTCCCCAGTAGCTTAGCAGAAATGCTGCTTGCTCTTAGCCACACATACCAGAATAAATAATAAATAACAATAAATAATCCTTGCACTTGGTACAGCGCCTTATCACGTCGTTGAGATGTCTCAAAGCGCTTCACAGAATATACTGCAAATTGTGTACTGACTGTATATTTTGTGGGTAAAACGCAGCAGCCAATTGTGCACAGCAGTGTCCCACAAACAGTCGTGGATTGAGTGACCGAATCATTTATTTACTTATTTATTTATTTGGGAGGGATTATTACCCCCAGAAAGTGATCTGCCAATTGACTAACAACCGAGTTCCTACTTCCTGCTAGGTAAATAGAGCCGTGCGTGCGGAGTAAAGAAACTTGCCTAAGGTTTCACCACAACCTGGCCGGGAATCGAACCCAGGTCCTCTCGCTCGCAGGGCGAGCGCACTAACTCCTATGCTACGGGAGTCCCAACACAGCATGGAAGAGGACGCTAGTTTTATAATGTCGCTAATGATATCAAGGTGTGTGGGCAGCTGACTCGTGAAAGGAATATTTAATAGCACTAAGGAGCATGTGAACAGATTAACCAGATAGATTTACATGATGGCAGCTGGGTTTCAATATGGACAAATGTGAGCTAATAAGGAACTGGAGATTTGATGAAAGGATGTTCGTGAGAAATGGGAAATGTATTTTTGCGATTGGTTCTTCAGCAAATATTTCCATTTAATGTAAAGCTGCTGTGAACAGAGCTAGATAAATAAATTAATCTGTGGTATATAAATGTGTTACTCTGTATAATTCACCAAGCTGCTGTTGATTAAAATAATTTCTGTCTCTAATGATAACACCAAGTCAAAGAATAGTGGCTATTTAATAATGTGAGTATTTTTTATATTAACAGCTTCCGCTGTTTAAATGATGTACATATTTGAGGCTGCATTGTTCAAATAATATTGTTGCATTTGGTTAGGATATTAGGATAACTTACAAATTGAGCCTCACTTTTATATTAAATATGAAGCACAATTTGGGTCTTACTTAATCTAATGTACTTTTTTTTTTGACAAGCGTTTCCGAAGCCATTTTCGTTCGGAACCACATGAGTCAAATATCATCAGTTTGGTTTAAATCCTCGGAATTCATAATACGAAATTGCTGTCATTTGCCCTGAGTAATTTAACTGTCCCCATTCTCCCTGTCTCTGCTTGACAGGAATATTCCTCAACATGATGTATGATTTGTTTAAACTACTGTCCTGACAGCTAAAACTAATTCCTTCATTGTAACATCCATTTTAAAATCCTGTGAATATATATCTTTCTTCACCTTTTTTTTTTGCTGCGTGCAGAATAATTTCTTTGATGGCTTATGAGGGGTCTCCCAGTAAATCTTTCATGTGTTTCTGCCATGTTCCTATTTTGTGTGAATTAAATCTGTACCTGGCTGAGGATTGTGTTGTGGAGTTTTAATATTTCTTTTGCCTGCGGTGATCAATAGCGGTCCAGAATAATACAAATTTTATAACAATATAATAATAATTCCTGCATTTGATATAGCGCCTTATCATGTCGTTGAGACCTCTCAAAGCGCTTCACAGGATATATTATAAAATGAATTGACTGTGTATTTTGTGGGAGAAACTTGGCAGCCAATTGCACAGGTGAGATCAGCTAACATAACACAGAGTAAGGGTTGAACTGGGAACCTTCTTGGTCTGTCGGACTATTACTCACCTGCTTGTGACTTTATAACCGAGTTATTGATGTCCCGTTATTTACAATACAATACAACTTTACATTGATATGGTGTCTTTCAAGTTGTGGGGATGTCCCAAGGCGCTTATTTTAAAGGAGAGACAGAAAAAAATTATTGCTCACAGAACCCGTGGACTGTTTTACTTTCATATAAAACATTACAGGTGACCCATTGCTGTAATGTCATTTCTCATTGTGAATGGAATCTGCAGTATTGGCTCCCTCGCCTTTTTATTGCTGTGCGAAATATCATTTTGGTTTGTGCTGCAGTAAATCCTTTGTCTGCTCCGCTAGAGAATTAATGTAAAAATACAATCATGGCACCAATGTTGTTTTTCATTGTTAGGAATGTGCAAGAGTGGAAATGGCCATTGAGAACCATCTGGTCAGTCAGTCCCAAAGTTCATTTCTTTTTAAGAAAAATAATCCTAGACGTCTTTCTCTTACCCGAGAACATATTTTGTGCAAACAGCTATCCAGTTCCAACTCCCTCTTGAACTCGCTGAAGCAATCTGCAAAAGAGAACATTTTGCCCCCAAACTACTAAATGTTTCCTTTGGTACCAATTAATAACTCTCAGCCTTCGTTATTTTCCCTGATATAAAATTACCGTGTTTATTGGAAACCAAACCAATTTTCGCTCACGGACAGGCGAATGATTTGTATGTCAAGACCCCTGTGGGGGAAAAATAAGAAATTAAAGATTTAACATTGAGTGAATGGAGCTTTGTTTCCTCTGTGAGTTCATTGTTTAGGCAACAGCAGAATCTATAATAATCCTGAACAGTGCAAGAACCAAACAACCAATTGCGCACAGCAGTGTCCCACAAACATTTGTGGAGTGAGGGACCAAATTATTTTTATTTTGAAGGGATTAATACCCCCGGAACCGCGATCCGCCAATTGACTAACATCTGGGTTCTTACTTACTGTAGGTAAACAGGTGTGGAGTAAGGAAATGACTTGGACGATTTTAGAATTGAACACTGATTCTCTGTTTTAACTGAATCTAAATGTTCTCTCAATGGCCTCCAGTGTTGTATGAAGGTACCTCACAAGCATCTAATCTTGTGTCTTTCTTGCATCTCTCTTTATAGTGGTCGTTCATTGTAGCAACAATCACAGAGATACCCTTGGTGGTATTCCTCCCTAACTGCCTAGTCCAGAGAAAGGTCTTGAGACCGTTAAGGTTGCAGACTGGAGGAACAATTATGGTAGGACATTTTTTTATTTCGTTCAAATGGGGATGTTCACACGAGAAGAGAAGGTTGAGGGTAATATGATTACAGTTTGTAAGATTCTGAAGGGACTAGGTCATGGAGACCATGATAAGCTGTTTCATCTTGTACTGAACAGTACAACCAGAGGACACGGTCCGTGATTGAAGTGGGTAAATTCTGAACAAATGTGCCGAAACACTACTCAGTGAGCAAGTAGTAAATGTTTGGAACAGGTTCCCTGGGGAGACGGACAGACAGTGGAAGCAGAAAGTGTTGTTTGTTTCAAGAACAAATGAGATTGATTTCTGTTAGAAAATCATATCTGGGGTATACAGTGTATAGTTTGGGACACGACATGTCAAGCGACTGCCAGGATGGTGGAAGGTGAACTGGATGGACCTTGGTCTTCTTTCACCCAATAATACTTATGTTCAATTAGTCTTACTTCCGGTAAAGGCTGGTTCTGCACCAGGATTCTCTGTGAGCGCGAAAGATTCATGACTTATTATGGCGCGAGCGTGAGAGATGTGCGTATTTCACACAAGCGGAAGAATCACCTTCTCTGATGAAACGTTGTTTATTCTTAAGCAGCAGAACGCTCCTTTTGAAATATTGTGCACAACTGACAAATTATGTTAAATGACGATTCGCACGGGTGAATTATCACCCCAGCACTCAGCAGAAAAAATTAATTCCACTGGAACTGAGAGTTAATTTAGGTGCCGCTGTTCAAAGCTGTGGAACGCATTTGGCCCATCCACTCTGATCTGCAAAATCTATAAAATTATATTCAGCGCTTAATGAGAAATGCCACGTACAAGTGTAGCTCCAAGAGATAACGGGGGCAAGGCACTAAATTTGGTTAGATTGCTTTGCTGCACAGCACAACACAGAGCTTATTAATTTTACTTTCCTTCAACAATGCAAGGACCCTGAATGCTAAAATGATGTAGCAGGCATATTATAAATTCCCATCATTTCCTGCGTTCATTCTGTTGACTGATGGTTGACAGTGAAAATGCAGGTTTCGATTTGCTGAGATCTGCATCTGAATCTACACTGTTAGCAAAAGCTCTGTGTACCTTCAATGTCATTGGCTTGTCTTGAGTGGCTTCCCAGAGGTGCTGGCTCAGCCACCCTGGGTCTCAAATGTTTTTTTTTTCTGAAAAAAAACACACACACACACAGTATTTTGATGTTAAAAGGGGCGTGAGGAAATATTTAATCGCGCTCGCTCTTTCGGATGCTAATTGACCTCTGCAACTTTCGGACATGAGTGTTTTTTTTTCTTGGGAGTTTTTAAAGTGACTGCTCACGTCGAAATGTCTCCCGAGTGCTTCACGAGTATGGCTCGACAACAACAACAACAACAACACGTGACACCTACACAGCGCCTCTCACATGGGGAGGACGTCCCCAGGCGCTGGACAGTCAGGGATTTGGACCCGAGCTGGGGGTTGGGATCAGGAGGTGGTGGGGGGTGGGGGTAGGAGGGTGGTCGAAGGCACAGTCGAAGAGGAGGGTCTTGAGACGAGCCTTGAAGGTGGCGAGGGAAGGAGATGACAGATGTGGGTGGTGCAATGTTGGGGATTTTGAGATTTTACGAACCCGCATTGTAACGGGGTTTTTCTATAATCAACTGGTGTGGGTATTGACTGTTTTTGTAGTCATGTGGAGGCTATTAATGCCAGGAAAGCACCTGCAAACAGCCATGATCTGAATGACCAATTAATCTAGGGCTTTGTTGCCTGTGATAGAACAGGAGAGACGCTCTCTCTCTCTCTCGCTCTCTCTATCCCGTTAGGATTGTGGGATCTCTTTAAAGTCAAATTTCTAATATTCATCATTTATTGTTTTAGATCTCTGTTCAGGGTTGGATAATAAATGCAGACACGCTCACTCAGTGGTGGTTTAGGAAAGAGCTGATGGTAGCAAAACTTGGAATATTCACGGAAGGAGTTTTCTGCTGCTCGAGATAATAATATTGGAGCTTCATCACATGCTAATAATTGTTCAGCTGATGCATTGCAGCTCCAGACCATACGGGACTAAACTGTCAAAGTGCGAAAACCTCAATAAAACCGTAATGGGTTACCGCACTGGAATTTTTATAAGCTTTGTGCAGCATATCCCAGTCTACATTAACTTACTTTAAAGAAGTAAATTTCACTAAATTGGCCTCAGTCCTGTGTGTTGCAGAGGGCAATGCACACGTACGTAATGAGGTGTGTGTGTGTGCCTCAGTCAGTTTATGAGGCAGCTCGGAAACGTGACTGTATTTTAGGGGCAAGTTGTGTAACAACAACAAACAACAACAAATGACATTTACACGGCCCCTTTCACGTCGGGAGGTCGTCCCGAGGCGCTGGACAGTCAGGGATTGGGACCCGAGCTGGGGGTTGGGATCGGGAGGTGGTGGAGGGCGGGTAGGGGTAGGAGGGTGGTCGAAGGCGCGGTCGAAGAGGAACAGGATTCTCTGGCTGTCAAGTCAAATGGTGGCCCTAAGTATTGTTACCATAGCAGGGGGCGGGGAGACGGACCTTGAAGGAGGCGATGGAGGGAGCGAGGCAGAGGGACTGTGGGATGGAGTTCCAGAGGGTAACAAACTGTAGAATCAGTTTTAGAATATTTCTGTCAAAACATGGCTTTCTACGCATTCACTTACTTCCTTTTAAAAGTGTATTAACGTGAAGCTAATCTGTACAATATCTATTCACAAAAGATTCCTCTCAGCTTCAAACGGAGGACATACTGTACGTACCGAGCAATTTGCAAAATTGCAAAATATCACAAGTTTATCGCTGAATGTTTTTGGGGTTATGTTAGGTTATCACGTGACTGTCAGATGCGTTCTGCCACGAGAGGTTAGGTTGAAGAAGGGCCTTCAGCCTGTTTGATCTCCTCGGCCAGCGATATCGTTGCGCATTGGAAAAAAACAGAGTTAAGCTGGTGTCCATTGAACCAGGATTCTCTGGCTGTCAAGTCAAATGGTGGCTCTGAGTATTGTTACCACATCAGGGGCCGGGGTGGTGGTGGGGGTGGTGGAGAGACCCACACACACACAACCATAGTTTGGCAGGGTGCCAATTTTTGTAAGGAAAGAGTAACTGGGGATATGGGGCAAAGGGGCTGAGTTACAGATCAGCCATCCATGATCTAATAGGACGGCGGAACAGGCTCGAGGGTCTGAATGGCTTACTCTTGTTCCTAAGTTCCTCGAGTGCAATTTTGTGCGAAGTGCTGATTATCACCAGTGATCAGTGTTGCCTCGTGAGGCACATCTCACCCCCATTATGTCCAGAATGGAGCTGCTCGCGAGGAAAGCAATGACGTTTTGTACATCAAAAAAGGAAAATAATTACACTAGAATAAGATTTTATCCTCTTGAATTATATTGCTGTCGAATTATATTGTGGCAGGAAATATGACAATTGCCAATTAGCCCCTTTTATCTCATCCCACAGCTGTTTTATTTGGGGGGAGAGAGACTTATTCAGTTTGTACAGTTGCTGATCATGTGGTATCCAGTGAATGAACACCAAATGAAAGAGATGCAATTCAACAGGAATTTGAGCGAAACAGTTCTTTTCTGTACCCGTTTGTTCAGAAACAATAGTTAAACATCAAACCACAAAAGCAGAATTTAATGCCTCGCATGCAGAACTTCTTTCAAATTGCAGCTGGTGAAAGAGAGGGAGTGTGTGAGGGAGTGAGAGAAAGGGAGTGAGAGAAAGAGAGTGAGAGAAAGGGAATGAGAGTGTGAGAGAGGGAGAGAGAGAGAGAGAGAGCGTTAAATCTGCAGCGACCGACGACAGTCTGGTTTTATCAGGTCATTTTCGTAAATATAATGCTGAAATAATAATCCTCGCATTTGATATACAACCTTATTACGTCATTGAGCGCTTCACGGAATACACTGTAAAGTGGAGTGGCTGTATTTTGTGGTGAAGACATGGCAGCCAATTGCACATTCAAGGTTAAACAGGCCACCGATCTCTGTGTTTCTTGCCCTGCCTTTGGAGCAAGAGTGTTAATAAATAGATGACTTCAGTGTAAATATAAATGTGTCCTGAACGGACTAAAGATTGAGATTTCACAAGGTGAGTGCTATTTTATTGGATATATTAACCCTGCACTCTCATCTGCACCAGATTTATGCAGCCACTTTCGAGCTGATGTGACAACAACGACGACAAAAAAATTACATTTACGCAGCGACTTTCACGTCGGGAGGACTTGCACCCGAGCTGGGGCTTGGGATCAGGAGGGGTGGGGGGGGGGTGGCGTGTTGATATTTTCATCACCATAAGTTGGAGATGTATCTCTGTGTATATCATACTCTATACTGCTCTTTACTTGTGCTGTCACAGTGAGGTATCGGGATTTTATATTTGGTATAAGTTTCCCTTGAAACAAACAAGCTCACTGACAAAATCTAAGTTTGCATTTCCCTGTGTAGATTTATGTCGCCAAATAAATAGCAGGTAGTTTACTGTGTACGTTTCTAAAGTCTGCATCATATCTACTGCGGATCATTATTACTACAATCCCATAACGAATGAACACACATTCCCTTGGAACTTCTGAGCGATTTAAGACGCATGATCTGATTTTCAGCAATGATTTGATTTCTATCCTTTGCTTTTGGCGTCTAGGCTGGAAAACTCGCTATGGAGAGAGGGTGGGCAATCAATGTCGGTAGGTGGCAAATACACATCCAGTTTATTGAATGCGTCCGCAGGTCAAACTCGCACCATTATAGGAATATTAATTGATTTCACTGAAAACAGATACATCTTTACATCATTATACCAAGTCTATTCCATTCCAACTTTTCCCTGGTACAAGCACGTAAGCATTTCAGCTAGTTGTTTGACTTCTACCCTTTATATAGAGCTCCAATATTTCAGTCAAGTGCCCCCAAACAGGTTGAACATTGCCCTCTGTTACAATGGAGACCATTGAAGCCACTTGACGTTTTTAATAGTTCCAGATATTTTACAGACTGACTCATAGAAACCGTAGGCTGTGAGCCATGGCCTTGTTTTTGGCAGGTATTAATGTAAGATGTTTAAATTTGTGCGCATCCTTGTTTTGTTTATTTTAATCCCAGAATGACTGTTCTGTGATATTGTGATGAATGTGATCATCAGTTTTACCAGTTTCATTTTCAGAGTCTTCAGGTGAGATGAAAACAGTGACGGGATAGCTCGCCGGGAGGGCAATATATCAGTATAATAGTGGGCTTCTATTTTGGGTTTGTGTCAAAATCAGGAAGTTTGAGATTTAATGCGCTGCCTCTCTATTTTCCAATGCCATTGTACAGGGTGTGCACACAGTCCTGCTACTCCCTTTTTCCCTGTACCGTGCACTGACCAGCAACTGAAACATGTGGAAGAATGATGATAAATGTATTTGGAGGGACTCAACTTAATTATATTCAGTACCAGGAGGTAACAGGAGTTTGTGGACACCCTGTAATGGTGCAGATAATGGTGTGATGCCTGCATTTGTTTTATGTGCATAGAGTAAGGAATTCAACCCTCTCCCCCCCGCCCCCCCCCCCCCCCCACCCCAATCTCCCACCCCAAAAAAACCACACAGACACATTCACACTCCTGTTTATCTTTGTTAAGAGCTCACAAATCTGTTTTACTGCCCCCCTCTATCCGAAGGCGCAGCAATTTGTTTTGTTACCCGGTGAGTAAGAGAGCTCTCTTTCTACCAAGTGCCGCTTAATTGAGTAACTCTCAATCCTTTCCATCAACAGGAACTTATCCAGTTTCATTTTGAGGTTTCTTCTGCCACCGGCTAAGCTGATGGTTTCCTGTCTGCCTCATGGCCATTTACTTAAAATAAAGTCCCTCGCAGTAATAGTGCTGTTCCTGATGTATGGGTAGCTTTATATTGGGCTGAGAATTGCACCTCTGATGTTATTTATCACAGCAGTGAACATTTTTGGACAGTCGCCGTCCTAATTTATCAACTAGTGTGACTCTTTCACTCCCTCCCCCCACCCCGTCTTACTGCCCCCACCTCTTCCCCCGCCACCCCACCCCCCCCAACCTCGGAAAGGTTGGGCTTGAAGCTGACTCACGCTACCCATTAGATTTAGCAACTGCAGATTGCAATGTGGGCGAGCTGGTTGGAGAGACATCCGCTTCACTCTGTGTTCTATGGTAACCTGCCAACTCGCAGTTTCACCACAGCTAGGATCGTGGCTGGCAAGCTCAGTGGGCAACGGCAGGCTAGCTTTCAAGCGAGAGGACCCGGGTTCGATTCCCAGGCGGGGCAAAACTTTAGGCAGGTTTCCTTACTCCACGCGCCTCTGCTTACCTAGCGGTATGTAGGAACCCGGTTGTTAGTCGATTGGCGGGAGTAATAATATCTCCCACAAAAACATTTGGTCGTTCAACCCACCACTGTTTGTGGGGGATGCTGCTGTGCGCAATCGTCTGCCGCCTTTCGCCCACAAAATTCAATTCACTTTACAGTGTATCCCCTGAAGCGCTTTGAGATGTCTCAAAGACGTGATCAGGCGCTGCATCAAATGCCAGGATTATTATTATTATTTCAGTGGGAGGAGAGAGAGGGTGCAGGTGTGGGCGAGTTAAATACCTATGTAGTATTTGGTAATTGAGCACGTTAGAAATCGCACCGCATTATTTTGTCGACACATTAACAACAGTATTGGAAGCAAAGATATGTTTTGAGTGTTAATGAGTGACCACAGAATACATGACACTAAAGCTAGGATAAGTCACCGTGACATCATTCGGCACGTGGTTTCACAATGGTCTTCTCTCACAGGATAAAACCAGTGTGTGGTTTTTCGCAGCACAAGTAAAGCAAGCAGTCATTAGTCTCAATGAACTCTGAATTCTGCAGTAAGCCTTTTCAGCGGATTAACATTTCTGTAGTGTGATTAAATGTGTAACCCAGATCATTTGTGAACAATTTGATAATTATATATTTAAATTACTCTGAATAATTAATGTCCGTACTTATCCCTCTGCTAGGTGGTGGTTTCCATCATTGCTCACGAGAGAAAGGGGGAGGATTTTGTGCTTACGCTGACATCACTTTGGCAATTAAGGTAGGAAAAAACATATGGATATAGATTGCTAGCACTTCACTTCAGCTAACTGAGCACGAGTAGAGGCCTCAAATTCCACACAGTCTTAGCCCCTGTGAGACCATTTTGCCTTGAAACTTAAGATGGTGCAATAAATAGTAGAAAATGAACAAGTTCAGTCTTAGTGAGAAACCAGATTTCTGCAGTTCTTAGAGAGAAATCTAGTTCCAACTTCAGACTACATTTAAGAGAGATCTTACATTTTAAGGCAAAAACAGTCCCATTTCTTCACAGAATTTTATACTTCAGGTAATCATTTTACAACCTTGTGATCTGTGTGGCTAATGAACTGTCAACATTGTTAGAAGGCCATTGGGGTTATAGCCATCGGACTCTTAGTTAAGAAAGTACAATAATAACAATTTGGTTACTCAATCCATGACTGTTTGCGGGACACTGCTGTGGACAATTGGCTGTCCTGTAGCTCAGTGATTAGAGCACTCGCCTCACAGGCGAGAGGATCTGGGATCGATTCCTGGCGAAACGTTGGGCAAGTTTGCTTACTCCACACGCCTCTGTTTACCTAGCAGTAAGAAGGAACCCGGTTGTTAGTCGATTGGCGGATCGCTTTTCCGGGCGTTATAATCCCTTCAAAAGAATAAAAATAATGGCCACAAACCATACAGTCAGTTCACTTTACAGTATACTTATGAAGTGGTTTGAGATGTCTCAAAGATGTGATAAGACGCTATATCAAATGCAAGGATTGTTATGATATTATTATCCGATCACGATCAATTTAAATGCTATAGCAGCAAGCTGTGCCTCTAGAATAACCAGGACTGTCCTTTGTTCTTGCAGTTTTTGTTTGACAGAGTGGATGGAGTGTCGAAGGTTGCAATCATCGATTTGGATGCACATCAGGTACTTTCCCTCAAAACCCTTCGTGCCCAAGTAATTCTGTCTCCTTAACCTTTTTCATGTGTTGTGAACCAAGGCGGGTAATTGATATCCTGAAATAATACGTTTGGAAACATAAGTCACACTTGGGTTGATCGAAAGCTGACTGGTTTGCTTTGCTGCACAATGCTGGACAGATCTAATCCTCAACCACTCGGGAGGAGCTAAATCTTTTTTTCTGAGGAGCAGATTGTCACTAATGTTTTATTTTCTTATTCTTGGACGAATAAGATAATTTATCCCAGAAAACTTGATCTCCACATAAAACACTTCTCACACTGTGTTCTTGCAAACATATGCTTTCAAATCCCTCAGTGATATACACCAGTTCCCAAGTCAAGAGCTAATGCATACTGTGTGCTCAACAAGAACCACAACAACACACTGCATTTACACAGTCCTTTTCGTGTCAGGAGGACGTCCCAAGGCACTGGCCAGTCAGGATTTGGACCCGAGCTGGGGGTTGGGATCAAGACGGGTGGAAGGCAGGGAGGATAGGGATAGGCAGGTGACAGAAGGCGTGGTCGAAGAGGAGGGTCTTGAGACGGGCCTTGAAGAGGCAAGTGAGTGAGGGAGGGAGGGAGGGAGGCGAAGGGAATAGTGCTGCTATCATCGTGCACCAGATCAGAAGAGAAGTTGGAAGAACTCCCAATTTTATATGACTTTTTCTGCCGATTTTCTCCTCCACTCTTAAGTGCAGCTGGCTGCCTTTCCTTCTCCTCCAGTATCTCCAGGTAACAGTTGTTCAATTGATGGCCTTGGACATCAAGCATTGGACAGGTTGGTCAAACGTGAAGGGTGTCATTAGCTGAGAGCCTGGTGCTCGCTCAGCATTTATACACGTAGCTTCTAACAATAGTTTCTGGATAGTGATCAAGAGAAGGAACAAGTAGATCCCCTCTCTTTCCTCCCCCACTACCCCCCACCTCCCACCCCCCCCCCCGTCGATATTGTGACTAACTATAACCGCTCTGGTCCCAGCTGAAATCCGCTAATTCAGCACAGACTGGAATTCAATATTCATCTTTCTGTTCTGCTTGGCCAAACGCAGTGCCGGGCAAAGCCTTTCTCCTCTGGGCTGTGTAAAGAGTCAGCCCATTCATCTCACTGTTCCACAATATTAACCTTACTGTCTTCCCATTACAGCATCAAGCTGTTTCACAAATGAGCCCAGTGTGCTGGCCTTAACCACCTTTTCTTGGTAACCCGTTCCAGCTGTTGATTATTTTCTCAGTGAAGAAATGCTTCCTCCGGTCTGTTCGGACCTTGCCCTTCACAAATGCTGACCAGTACCCTCTTGTCATTGTTGGTTTAATGCAGGATTGTCCAACCTTTTGGCTGCTGAGGGCCGATGCCTTGTTTGAGATACGTCAGGGGGACGCATAAGCAATATTTCTGTGATTCCCTTCCAGAAGCATAACATAACACTTATGGGTTACGGAGGGAGCGGGAGGGCCAGATGAAATAGAAGGAGAGGGGTGGGGGCCGGATGCGGCCCGCGGGCCACCAGTTGTACCACCCTGATATAATGTGTATGAAAGGATTGTACTGAAGTCTTATTTGGAGAGGAAGAATGTTAGGGCCTGTAATGCAGGGAAAGCGCATGCAATTGGGTTTAGAATAGTTAGCTTCAGTGCCTGCTCAGGCTCAATGGGCTGAGTAGCCTCCTCCTGTATTGTAATTTTTATGATTCGTTTTTTCTATCCCATTAATAATAATAATAATAATAATAATATAAGTACCTTATTTGCCTCTGTGAAGTCTGTGATGTCTACTTTGAAACCTCTTGTCTCTTTCGTGAGACTGACTAGCTTGTCCTTTTGTGCAACATAACACCACCCCATGAGCATTGGGTATTAGAGTCTGAAAGGGCAGCTTAACCATTAGACTGCAAAGATGGTTATCCTTCCTCGTGCACTGGGGACCAAACCCTCTTCCTCCATCTTGTACTTACCATAGATGGCCCACCTGAGAGCAGGGTCTCCATGTGGTGAATTTAAGTCAAACTGGCCCCATTGACACAAAAGCAAAATACAGTACTGCAGATGCTGTAACTCTGAAATAAAAACAGAAGTGGCTGGGAACACTCAGCAGGTCAGGCAGCACCTATGGAGAGAGGAAAGTGAGTTGACGTTAACTTTCCTCTCCCAATTTCGCAACTGGTTTAACTTGCTGGGTGGACACTATTTTATACATTTGCCTTTTATCACTCATTCGTTTCTTATTTTAATCAACAGCAAAGCTGCACCTACACAACCCATCAAACGCCATTAACTTTTCCCCCTTGTGCGCTCTTTATTTACTTTTAAAATCTAGCGTGGCTCACGTTCAGTAGTGTTTACAGTGCTTCAAAGTATTCAGTGATCTTTGGAGTTACCCCAAAAGAAAATTATGAACATCTGATGTATAGTTTGCTTTGTAGTTCTTGAAAGATTGTGAGTTGCACAACACATGTTTTGTCGCTTAAAGGGAAGAGCAATCTTTATTCCAGTTCCCACATTCCACTTCTGTTAAGACTTACATTCATTGTGGGACATCACAATTGGCTGTGGCATTTCGCCCACAAAATACACAGTCACTACACATTACAGTGAATCCCGTGAAGCGCTTTGAGACGTCACGACAACGGGATAAGACGCTGTATCAAATGCAAGATTATTATTATTATTATTTGTCTTTGAATTCCACTTTGAGAGATTCCAAATTCACCTCTCCAAAGCTTGAATTGGAGGCAGTTTTGCTGGCAAACGTGTTGCACAAAGAACAGATTAAATCAAATCTGTCTTGCCAGATACCTCTGGATTTATTGGTAATAAGAATAATTCTCACAGTCTATATAGTGCCTACAATACTGAAAAAAAATCTCAAGAATTTCAAGGGTGATTGCTGCTGCGTATCATGACTGTGTGTTTGCAAACGTGGCAGCCAAACTGGGTACAAAAGTTCACACAAAGAGCACTGAAGCATACAATCAATTTGTCTGGAGGATTGTTGGCCAGGTTTACCAGCAACCTCGCTCTTACAAAAACTGCGAGTCTGGTCAACTTGGTTGGCAGAGTTGGGCTGGTTTCATTGGATTTGGAGGAACAATATGCCTTTGAAAGCCTCAGTGTGATCTGAGGAAGGAGCGGTGTGACAGCAAACTATTCCTTGCAGTTCACCCTGGATTAATCTCCTTTTGGTGGAAGCATTTGTTACAGCGCCTCATCATGTCTTCGAGACGTCTCAAAGCGCTTCACAGAATATATTGTAAAGTGAATTGACTGTCTATTCACCCGCAAAACATACAGTCAATTCACTTTATATTCTGTGAAGTGCTTTGAGACATCTTGAAGACGTGATAAGATCCTCTGTCAAACGCGAGGATTATTATTTAGCACTTGTTAAGCTGAGGAAGATGGGTTTGGCACTGGGGGCTAATTTGGGCTTTTCATTACAACTGAGCTCAATTACTCCTCTCTCTTGAATGATATTTGCAGAGGTTTCCCTGGTTAGTCAACACCAAGTTGTTTTGGGAGTCGACTTAATTTGATACAGCGCCTTATCATGTCTTCGAGACGTCTGAAAAGGCTTCACAGGATATACTGCAAAGTGTAGTGACTGTGTGTTTTGGGCAAAGGGAAAGATTTATGGGTGAGGTGGGTGGGGGGGAGAGAGAAAAATGGAGAAATTCTACATCTACTGGATGAATTTTATTACAGATTTTCTCAAAGAAAACACGGTTTGACGTCCGTCCCATTCAATTTGGATTGTAGCAAATTGTTTATTTATAAATTGTAAATCTTGAGTCATTATTTTATCAAGACCTTGGGTCTCGAGCCTTGCTTGATGCTGGTAGCGAGGATGCAGATAGTGCAAGGGTTTGTGAAGGAATGTAAGTCAGGACAACATATGGAGCCCAGAATACAAATCCTTTGAGCAGAAATGGTATGAGTGGTGTGTCTGCAATAGGTAAAGCAGACTTGCGTTGTGATCAGAATGGATGTGTCCACACACCGAGTAACTGTTTACATTGTGTTGCCATCTAAGACGGGTTTCCTCCCAGCTGGAATTGCTTGAGAGCGTGGCGTTAGTTGGGCTTCTGCCTGTACTCCGAGATCACAGAGCCAGGCTTGCTCAGACAACAACAACAACAACGTGCATTTGTACGGTGCTCCTCAGGCAGGGTAGCGTCTCAGAGTGCTTGACAGTAAAAATGGGGAAGGAGGGGATGATACTCAGATTACTCGTCTCAACATGACAGGCGACTTGCTTTGTGAATAAACATTTTCAAAGCGAAAAACTAAAAACTCTAATGGCCGAGGGGGTAACGACACTGCTATAGCACTTAGCAAACAGACAAGGGAGTCCTTGTAGGCTGTGCTTTGAGCTGAGTTCAGCCAAGACAGTAGTTTGGACACCTATAATCTGCTAACAAATACTGTCCCTAAACGTTCTTGACAGCAATTGCTGGTGAAATGCTATGAGACATGTCAGTGTGACTGGCGCTGCATCAAATGCAATAACAATTTTCATTGCACGTGGATTAGGGAGAGTTGGATCAACCAGGTTTCCCTCTCAGGGCTCCCCCCCCCCACCCGGAAAGTGTGGCCTGTGTGGATGGTGGGTGAGGACAGGATTGAGATTAGCTGTGAAGTTGCTCCTGCAGTTGACTGGCATTGGCTGCCGCTAGCTGTTGAAGCTCACAGGAGAGCTCGGGATGAGGAACATCCTTCATTCCATTTGATCTCACCTTTCTATTATAGCATCGCGCTGCTTCTTAGATGGTATCCGGCTCATGCTATTGATTACCCTCTGCCTAGAGGGACAGTGACCGCCTGGGATCTTGTGGAGGGCACCCAGTGTCTGTGGAACTAAACCCAGAGAGTTAAGTGTCTTTAGGAGGCCAGAAAGGAGAAAATCGCCCTATAACACACGCTTCCCAGAAAACACAGCCAACCATAGCAATGTGCACTAAGCATGCATATAAATACTTCAGGTTAAGGAGATTAAGTCTGAGCATGAATGTTAATCAAGGGTAGTGGAGTTCAGCCACAGAGCTTTGTCAGTTTTCGGCTAAGCTGATCCTGACTAGTTGACGTAACGGTCCAAAGATCTCTGTTTTGTTGAAAATATTTAAAATGAACATAATATGTTAATTTTTAGCCTCTGATGTTGAGTGTTCTGCTGTGTTGAGGCTCCATCATGTGGTCGGAGGTGTTGCAGGCACATTGCGTTTGCTCCATGCCGTACGTACTCGCAGTCTTAACACCAACCAACATCAGGAAGGAAAGGCGAATGTGAAGGATGTGCAACAGTCACTAAGCATTTTTCAATGTAATCAGCTAGGAGTTTCCAGGAAATTTATTCCTTTCCAACTGAATTGCAATGTAATAACGTTGGCTTAGAGACCGGAAGCTGGAATGTGATGAGCCTGGCTGTGAACGGCAACAACCTGCTGGAAGTTTAGTTGTTGTCTTGAAACGTTACGGTACGTAATGTCATGGGGGGTTTGTGAGGCAACGTGGAAGCCTCGCGTTTGATTGTGATTTCACGATTGCACTGAAATGCCTTCACACGCCAGCGCTCTCAACGGCAATCGATCCGGGTTTTAGCTGGTTTACACTCCCATCGCACACTCTGGGCTCCTCCCAAGCCTTTGGCAACCTGTGCCGAATACTTTACGGAATTAAGTAAGCAGGATGCATCCCTCCGGGAGAGAGAGAGAGAGAGAGCGCGATCCATTCCAATAATCTATTCTCTGGAACTTCCACATGTTAGGTGGGAGACCTGGAAATCTCAGTTTGGTTTGGAGAGTCTTAAGCAACGGTGATGGGTTTCCACATTGTGTCAGACACTCGGCCGGGCAAAAAAATATATACTTCGCCCACAAAAACAACACAGTCACTCCACTTTACAGTAATATCCTGTGAAGCGCTTTGTGAGGGCTCAACGACGTGATAAGGCGCGGTATCAAATGCAAGATTATTATTGTTATGGCAAAGAATTTCGCAAGCTCTTTTTTAACAAAAAAAGTAATTCTGAAAATACATTGCTTGTTTTCATCAATCCTTGCTTTCTTTCTTAGGGGAATGGACACGAACGAGACTTTATGAATGACGATAAAGTCTATATTATGGATGTTTTTAATAGATACATCTACCCAGGAGATGGATTTGCAAAACGTAAGTCAAGTTATAGACATTACATTTTGAAGACCATCAGTATTGCTTCTCGTCTTTTGTATACGGTTGAGTCTTTTTTTTTCATACCAGCATCGCAAGATACAAAAATAAATTGTGAGTACGTCAGATATTAAACTGGGATTTGCAGTTTATCAGTGTTTAGATGTCCTTGTAGGATGCAAACCTGAAAGTAAAGTAGCTCAATTTGTCACTTGGTCACGGGAATGTGCCGCGCAAAAGAAAAGGACATTACATTTGAAGATTACTCGGTTAGAATTGTTAAAACGTCATATTTTTTGCAAACAGATAGAACGGACAACTTTTCCCTCAAGCTGTTGACGCATATCACAGGTTTAGAGTTTGTCGATCTGACTGGAAGCAGTGTTTACAACGGTGTGTCAGCTTGGCTCCGTTGGTAAACTCTCGCCTCCGAGTCAGAAGGTTGGGGGTTCAAACCCATACGTTGGCAAATTAAACTCACGGCACTCTGATGCAGCGCTGAGGTTGTGCTGCGTTATATAGAGATGCCGTGCCTCACGTCCTGTCCTGTCTGCCTTTGCAAGTGGACACTGAAGATCCCGTATTGCTCCACGAAAACAGAAGCGAGTTGCTCTCTCCCAGTGTCCTGCCCAACAATCCCCCAGAGAAAAATTGGCTGTTCATCTCACGGCTGTTTGTGGGGACGCTGCCGTGCGCAATCGGCTGCCATGTTTTGCCCACAAAATATTCAGTCGATTCACTTTACGGTATATTCTGTGAAGCGCTTTGAGACGTCTTAAAAGAGTCTGTTGTCGTCTAAAAGGTGTCTCAAATGCAAGGATTATTATTATGATTATTATTGTGCGTGTGGGGAGATTCGCCCCCTGGTGGAGAAGTCTGTGTACTGTGCACTTCGGTTCAACAGTGACTCTGCCCCTGACTGTATGGGTTAAATAAGGACTTGTGGAGTCCTTATAGCGTAGTGGTGAGAGCACAAGCGAGAGGACCTGGGCCTGGATTGCTGGGCAGGGCGAAACGCTTTGAGACGTCTTGCAGACGTGAGAAGGCGTTATATCAAATGCAAGGGTTATTATTATTTTATTATTAACTCGTAGGGCAGAGGAGGTTCAGCTCATGTGTAATAGCTCTCGAAAATACTCGTCTGACTGTAGGACATGAATTCAACCTGAGTATCAGCTCTCCATTAACAGGAGCACTTTACACGTACTTGAAGCACTTGCTGAGAGGAGGTGCGTACTTTAACGCTGGCAGGTTACATTAATAACAACCCTTGCATTGGAAAACAGTGCTTATAGTGTTCAAATCTCAAAATGCTTCACAGTTAACTATTGTGGAGTGTAATGACCGTTTTTGTAAGCCAATGTACACCTAGTGAACAACCACTAACAGCCATCAACTGAATGACCGAGTGATGTGTTGGGATTGTTGGGCAGGACTCTGGGAGAAATGTCGTTCTGTTTTCGATTAGTTTCATGAGACTGTTGCCGTCAACATAAACAGGCAGACGGGATCTCGGTCTCATCCAAGCTCAACATCCCCAGTAATGCAGAACTTTCATGGAGTCCCCGTAGCGTAGTGGTTAGAGCACTCGCCTCGCAAGCGCGAGGACCCGGGTTCCATTCCCGGGTGGGACGAAACCTTAGGCAAGTTTCTATACTCCACAGGCCTCTGTTTACCCAGCAGTAAGTAGGAACCCGGTAGTTAGTCGATTGGCGGATCACTTTCCGTGGGTAATAATCCCTCCAAAAAAAAATGTGGTCACTCAATCCACAACTGCGTGTGGGACACTGCTGGGCACAATTGGCTGCTGTGTTTCACCCACAAAATACACCTTTCAATTCACTTTCCAATATATTCTGTGAAGCGCTTTGAGGAGTCTCAACGACGTGTTAAGGCGATGCATCAAATGCAAGTGATCCTGTTATTAAGTAATCAATTTAATACCAATTTGAAACTGAAGCTGGAAACCTACTCTACTGTGGTTGTTCAAATGGAAATAGTTTAACACCACAACCAGAGAGTTGCAGTTCAGTCTCTTTTCTCCTCCAGAGAAGGAGATGAAAAGTTGCGTTGTATTTGATATCCAAAATAGATTGGGGAGATTCTGTTTTATCCTTAACACATGCTCCACATAACGTTCCAAATGAGGTTCCAGAGAATCCGTTTCCAGAGGATTGAGATGCTTTGATGTTATCTCATCAGAAGATAACATTGTGTTGCCTTCAGACTTCAGCTCTGTGATTACAGTTCTCTCTGGTTGATCTTTAGCTCAATTTCCCCAACACTGGTGAGAGATTGCAGACCTGTGCTGCATTCAGTTTATGGCTGATTCGATAATATTAATAATAATAATAATAATAATCCTTGCAGTTGATATTGGGCCTTATCATGTCTTCAAGACGTCTCAAAGCGCTTCACAGAATATACCGTAAAGTGAATTGACCGTATATTTTGTGGGCAATTACCCACCAAAGACAACAAACAACAACAAATTGCAATCATGTAGTGCCTTTCCCATCGGGAGGACCCGATTTACCACACGATTTTCATTTGCTACGAATAGGGGGATATCCCATTTTGGTGATTTTCCAGAGCGAGACAAGTCGCAAATAAGCTCGCGCTCTCGGCATTCGTGAAACTCACTCCAGGTGAGTGAGACTGGACAGGTGTGTCTGTAATCACGCACAGTCTGATTACAGCTTGTGTAAGCCACAACTGAACATTGACTCACAGGCCGAGCCAGAAAATGACTCACTGAAGTGGAATGTATTGGACTGTCAATTACTGCCAACTTGTGTATCTGCTTCTATAATCATGGGTCAAACTTCACGTATTCCTTCATGAGCATTAATCTGTTCCTCCCTGTATTCTCTCTCTTTAGCGCAGTGAGAGCATAAGAATTTTCTAGGCGAAAGAAGGCCAAACCACCCAGTTCACCTTCCACCATCCTGGCAGTCACTTGCACATGTCATGTCCTAAACTATATACAGTTGGTTCAATACAATTGCATCCCCTATTTCAACAAGAACTCTAACCTTCACTTTATTGGCTGTTCATTTTGAGGAGAGCAGTATTTGGACTTGGAATGCTGCTGTGCGCGATCGGCTGCCGCGTTTCGCCCACAAAATACACTGTCGATTCACTTTACAGTGTGTCCTGTGAAGCGCTTTGAGACGTCTCGAAGACGTGTTAAGGCGCTGTATCAAATGCAAAGATTATTATTGCAGACTAGATCTGACAGAAGGCTGAGAGGTAAATGACCAATTAATCTGGAGGATTGTTGAGCAGGCCAACGGGAGAATCTCTCTTCTTTCAAACAGTGGGATGGAACTGAAGAACAGGCAGACAGGCTGTCCCCTAGGTTTAACTCCTCTCTGAAAGACGGAACCTGTGACAGAGAAATACTTTTCCATTATTGCACTTAATGGAGACTGTGAGTTCAAGTCCCGACGTGGAACTTGAACTTGAATCCATCTGATGCAGAGACACGAGTGGAAACGTGTCATAAAGGTGGTTGCCTTTCAACCCCGCCTGCTGAAGTAATGTGCTGTCCACAGCATAACAAGTTCCAATTGTGTTTCTAAATGTTTGAGATCCAAGTATGACCTTGTGCTCTGCAAGATTTATTTTATTTTCTCACTTGAAAGATTCCTGAATTTCCTTTGGTGTAAGATACAGAAAAATGACTGGTTTACACGCAGTGCCACGTAAATAAATAAGGCTGTGCTGGGCTCCAACTCACGCTGTTTGCTTTCATACGTTTGAAAATGTGTTTCCTGCGGAGTGACTGTGGCCCAAGTTGATGGATTGATTGATTGATTGATTGGTTTAAATGCTTTATTCATGAATTTGTTACCAGAAGCCATCAACCGTAAAATTGAGCTGAATTGGGACACGAAGGATTCCGATTATCTGGAAATAGTGGAAACAGAACTGGCAGCAGCACTGAAGGAATTCACTCCCGATATCATAGTGTATAATGCAGGCACGGACATTTTAATTGGAGATCCCCTGGGTGGTCTTTCTATTACACCGGAGGTTTGTAAAATACATTTTTTAATTCTAAATGATTGCGCTTCACCATATATATAATTTATTACATATAATAATAACATATTGATATTAATCCTTGCATTTGATATAGCGCCCGATCATGTCTTTGAGGCGTCTCAGAGTGTTTCACAGGATATATAGCAACAATAACGTGGATTTATGTAGCGCATTTCACGCAGGGTATCATCCCGGAGCGCTTGACAGTGGTGGAGTAATGTTGTAATCCCCTATGTAACCCCCCACACCCCCTCTCTGATTCCAACCTACAATTGTGCTGGAACTGATGCCAAACTTGGTGGATGGCAGTGTTGGACTGCGATATGTCCCGGCTTAGTTCTGATTTGTTGAGTTAAACACTGGGAGTCCTGTAGCTCTGGTTAGAGACCTTGCCTCGCAAGCGAGAGGACCTGGGTTCGATTCCCGGTCGGGGCGAAACTTAGACAAGTTTACTGACTTCCACACTCATGCCTCTGTTTACCTAGCAATGGGTAGCAAGAACCCAGGTCCTCTTGCTTGCGAGGCGCGTGCTGTAACTAACATGCTACAGGACTAATTCTTGACTAATCTTCTAATTCCTTTGAGTGTCTTGTTTTTTATGTGACGTCCAGGGGATCATTAAAAGGGACGAAATCGTCTTCAAAGCCGCCAGGAACATCATGTCCCCATCCTGATGGTGACGTCCGGAGGTTATCAGAAGAAAACGGCTCGGATTATAGCGGATTCCATCATCAACCTGACCCGGCAAGGACTGATTCGACGCAAGTCGTTTGCAAAAGGTCGCTCTTAAGGCCTTGGTTCTCGTCACCACCATCAACATGCGTTTGTCTGCGTGGCTAAACCGTGGCTCTTTAACTAACTAAAGGATGTTCTGCCATCTGACACGGTAGTTGCAAAGGTTGATCTTTTAAACAGAATTAACAATAGGCTTATGGTACAGTACTAAATCACCCACAAAATACACAGTCAGTTCACTCCACACGATATCCTGTGAAGCGCTCTGAGACGCCTCAAAGGCATGATAAGGCGCTATATCAAATGCCAGGATTATTATCATTATTATTATTATTACTAACTCTCTAAAGAAAAGCTCAAAGGCATTATGCAAGATATAATTCCATGTTAGATTCATCATGAGTACATCCCAAATTCCTAAATCAGTCATTAGGTGAGGAGCAAGTTTGCCCCTTCTCTAGGGATCTCCTCTTAACCCACCCTCCCCTCCTCTCCCCCTATCTCCTCAGGTAGCTGCTGAAACCCAAAGCTGCCAATAAGGGGAGACAAGTTTGCAGGGCTATAGGGAGAGAGTGGGGGAGTGGGGTTGATTTGGAAGCTCATTTCAAAGAGCCGGCACAGACACGATGGGCCGAATGGCCTCCTTCTGTGCTGTATGAATAATGCGCTAACACAGCAATGATAAGCAACTTGATGCCTTCATCACCTTGTGCACAGAATAGTGGGTGGAGGTGCCTGTGTGGAGAGAGAAAGAGAGAGTGGAGCCACGTAATATATTTTACTACTGATGTTAGCCGGCTATATTTAGTCCAGATAAAAGCACTTTTATTGTCCACAAATCCATTTTAATATGGGCCTTTTTAAAAAGAACACACACACACACCCCACCCCCCCCCCCCCCCCCCCACACACACACACACATACAAGGCATCCATCTCTTTACCATTCATTTTCCAGCAGAAGAAGTGCTTTTCTGGTTGTGCCGCTATTTGTAAATCTAGTGAGTAACGGCCTCCAAATCTGCATTTTGGGCTTTGCCTATCTGAATATAAATACGGCAAATGGGTTTTGTCAGATAATTGCAATGCGTTTGGGGCACAGTTAAGGTGACCTTCATCTTGTAGAGTTTTGTCATGTCTGACTCACAACAGATTAAAATCCTTCTTTTCTTCTGCTATTTCTCCTGGGGGGTACGTTCCAGGGCTTGTGCTTGACCGTAAATTATCTCCGAGCTGAACTACTACAAATTTTTTTTAAAAAAAGACTTGCTGTTTTCACATCTGTTTCTCATATATATATATATATATATATATAAAAAGTAGATCCATTTAAGCACAAGTGAAATCCAAAGTCACTGGAGATGAGATAAAGAAAGTCACATTTCCTAGAGTGCAGAGAAGGAGAACTCTTTTGCAAATGCAGTTTTTTTTCCCGAAGGAAGAGGATGCCTTTGAGAGCGTTTGTGTAAAAAAAACAGTTTGTTTTAATGTCACAAGATGATTGAACGTTAGATTCCCTCCATGGAATCTGGGCTTGGATTCCTAGACTTCTCTGGGTTTTCTGGGAGACGAGGAGGTAGGTTTTGTTGTTCTGTATTGGAGGGGTTGGTGGGGGGCTACAGAGCATTAAGGGACAGGGGGTAAGGACAGGTATTTGGACTTGAGGTACAGATCAGCCTTGATATTATGGAATGACGGAACAGGCTTGAGGGGCTGAATGGCCTATTCCTGTTCCTACATTTCTATGTTTCTTTGAAGGAAGGGAAAGGGGTAGGAGGTCTCCTTCCCCCTCCACTCTCAAGCGCTCTGGGGCGCTACCTTGTGTGGAGGGGTGCTAAATGAGTGCAAGTTGATGCCGTTCTCGTGTGCTTCCTGATCCATGAGCCAACGAATGTTGTGGAACATGTGCTTGGATGTTGGGGAGTGGAGGGGGTAGTGCGGGTGTAAGGTGCTAAAGAGGGAAGATGGGAAAAATTGAGGGGGAAAAGCAATGAAAAATAGCTTTGGGTTCTTTTAACTTGGGCATCGCCAATGGGTGTTAAGTTTCTTTTAGTCCTGTACAGATCGAATGCAGTCATGAAAATAAGCTGAGAGAGATATCACTTTATTTTCTTTTCAAAGGCACATCCAAATCCAGATGGAACGTGTCATTTGCACATATCTGATCAGAAAGGAGATCGTGCAATAGAAAGTGGAAAGTTATATTCAATGGGTATATTTAGGGGGAGAAGAACTTATTAGAAATAATTTGTTACCGCGAGACAGGAACATTTTATAGAATTAACATCAGGATTCGAAAGCAGCTTTCAAAACTAAATTGGATTTGATCAGAGAAACCCCTGCAGAGCTGTGGGGTAAGAGTGGGACTAGTTGGGTAGCTCTTTCAAAGAGCTGGCGCAGGCATGATGGGCCGAATGGCCTCCTTCTGTGCTATAAGATTCCATGATTGGCTGAGTGGGGTATTCACAAGCAGTGGGGGGGCCAAGTAATGTGTCCGGGAGACTCGATTGCTTCTTGTTGATCCGCGACATAGATTTGACCCATCTACAGTCAGGCCAGACCAGCGCTCCCACAGTTAGTGTGATCCGACCCGGGTTTCCCCAACGCATCGCACGCCTCATTATCGGCTCCAACCTGTACCCCATCACACTAAACCAGGCCACACCTCGGCTGCTTTGTGCGCTGGTTGCCCTGTGTGGCCCCAGTGGGTGGTAATGATGCACTTTAGAGCAGTGAGGAAATGCTTCATGAATCAAGCAACGGCATTAATGTGAACTTTATTTACTAGGAGGGCAGTCTGTCTCTCTGCAAAGAGGGTTGGCAGATTCGTCTCGTCTTTGCCCCGCATTTTAAACGTCTGGATTCTAAGCTCAGCCGCCCGCTTTTTGACTCTGTTTCGCCCGCAAATGACACCGTCAAGCCACAGCGCAGGATGCCCCGTGAAAGCGCTTTGGGACGTCTCGACGACGTGATGAGGCGCTGTATCAGATGCAGGGATTATGCTCGTTATTACGTTGTGGCTAGCGAGCGAGCATTGTAGCAGCGCTGGGTGCGTGTGCGTGTGTGTGTGTGTGTCGGGCATTTGCAGAACGATGGAGATCGCAGCAGCATAAATCGTGATTCGTCAAACACTGTCTTCCAAGCCGGGCTTGCTTGCAAATATCTTCTCTAAGCTTAACAGGTAGTTTGCACAAATGTAAAGGGAGAGAGGTTTCGACGGAAACAGAATTATATATTTAATGTGAAATACACTAATTGATAATTGGGGGCGACGTTATGGTCTTTTTATGGGATTCCTCAGTGATCAGCTCTAAATCGCAACACAGATTGATGTTAACACTATTGATGATATGTCTTATTAAAATAATAACACAATGAGATGTTAATGTGTTGGGGGCATTTGGGTTTTATGTGAATGTAACCACTTGGATCTAAACCCGATAATATAAAGGTTTATGCAGAACAACACATCACTTTGTTTTCTTTATTTTGTTGCTACCTTTATTGTCTCGAGTTCAAGATCCTCATCCTCACCTTTAAAGCCATCTATGGTTTTGTCCCACCCTACCTCTGCGACCTTCCAAAACTTTACCAACCCGCCCGCTCCCTCCGCTCAGTGATCACAGACCTGCTGAACGTCCCCCACCCTGCCCACACCACCATCAGCAGTCAGGCCTTCAGCCTTTCTGCCCCCACCCTCTGGAACTCCATCCCACAGCCCCTCTGCCTCGCCCCCTCCCTCGCCTCCTTCAGGGCCCGTCTCAAGACCTTCCCTCTTTGCCCGCGCCTTCGGTCATCTTCCCATCCCCTGAAGCCTTGCCCTCCATCCCTCTTGAATCCAATCCACAGCTTGGGAGCAAAGCATTGAATGTCCAGCGCCTTGGGGCATCGTCCCGATGTGAACAATACTATATAAGTGCAATTTGTTGTCTCAGCTCTGTTGTGTGTGTGTGTGTGTGTATGTGTTTGTTTTGACCATTGATGCTTGACTGGTTATGAAAGCCATTTTGCCCATCCAGCTTCCTCTTCTATGAAGATGTTTCTGCAAAGTCGATGCTTTTGGTAATTTGCACTAATGGAAACAGGTGCCAATTTTTCCTCATTCGAGTTTTTAGATGTTAAATCAAATGAAGCTGCATCAATTGCCATTAGTATAATTAAACTTACTGAAGAGAATTGATCAGAATATGCGGGAATGGAACCAAACAGCGAGCAGGATGGACTGAATGTTCCCTTCTGCGCTGGAAGTGTTTTATGTTTCTGAGCTACCAATTTCCCACAGTCCTTCCGAGTAAAAGTGTGTCATCCTGGCTTGATGGTAACGCTCTCTCACCTCTGAGTCAAAAGGTTGTGGGTTCGAGCCCCACGTTAGGATTTGGAGTCATACAGTCTAAGCTGACGTTCCAATGCAGCACTGGGGGCGCAGGGGGTTGCATTGTCGGAGATGCCGTTCTTCGGATGAGACGTTAAGCCAAGGTCTGCCTATTCCCCGCCCTCCCCCTCTCCATTCCCAGCAGCTCCTGGATCCAATTTGCTGTCAAGTTGGTGACGAGGAGGTTTTTGCTCAATGACCTTGTCAATGATGGCTCTCTTTGTGTCTGTGTGTGTGTCTCTCTCTCTCTGTACCTTGTGAGGTTTCATGCCTGTGTGTCAGTCAAGAATCAGAACCACTCGGAGCGAGCAGATGGCTTGTGACAAGGTGAGCCCAGGGCCCCAGGCTGTCCATTATTAACATACCGTGCTAATTGTGGTTTAACACTTCCTGTGGAGTTTCTCTCTCCATGATGATAATAATAAATTGGGCAAAAAAACTCTCCATCCGCACTGTCTCCTTGACTGGTTAGAATTTGTATAATGACAATAGTAACCTTTGCATTTCACACAGCGCCTTCTCGGGGCATTGAGACGTCTCAAAGCACTTCACAGGATACACTGAAAGTGGAGTGACGATATTTTGTTGGCAAAATGGTGGCACATCTGAGCAAACTGATGGGAAGAATTGGTACAACTCTGCAAACTAAGTTTAGTAATAATTTTGATACTCTTCCCCCCACCTCTTCTCCACCCCTTTCTCCCCCCACCCCCTCACTCCCTCGCCCCCTCTCTCCACCTCCCCAGGTGTATCCCGTCATCAATCAAGCACCACGG